TTGCTGATTCTCTGTCAGCCTGTAGGTCCCAATCCGGGGGGTCATACCTGTCGGATAGATGAAGCGGTGTGATATTATTTACGGGAGAGGCTTGCTTGTTTGTGACATATCTGTCAACTTTCTGTTGTTTTAGAGGCTTAGATGAAGGCTATGTTGCAGAAGATGTCCACTGTCTCTTCTTTTTACCCATGACAGCAATGCAAACGTACTTTCTATAAAAAAGACTGGTCCAATAATAGCAATAATACTAAAAAAGACATAAAATAGTAAAAATTAACCTTTAAGAAAAAGTCAAGTGATCTAAAAATAAACAGTGAACTAAAATATAGGTAAAATGAAAGGTTTTTAGGAGCAGTCTGTTATAAGGATTGTGACCATGTCGTCATCTTAATTCCCTCCCCACATCTAATCAGTAGTTGGAAATCAGTAGTTCTTCAGGGTTGGCTGAAGTTGTTTGGCATTGTAGTTCTGCAATATTTGGAGGGCTACAGATGCTGCAACCTTGAACCTAGGTCAGTACTGTATTACAAATAGCTGATGAACCTGCTGTATGTTGCCTAATAGACTATAAATGATAGGGGTTCCGATTATTATTACTATGACTCACTGAAGTATATTATCATACAGTAAAGTTGCTGGTGCTTTTCATAGTGGTGGAATATTACCCATGAAACAAGATAAATTAGTGTGTGTTGAAGTACACTAATTTTAGTTGCACCAGTAGAGAAGTGACATGTGGCAAAGAAGCAGGCTAGTATTCCAGGAAAAAAAAACAAATAGAAAAAACTTCTAGTAACTGAAGTAGGCTGAAGAGATATGCTAGTGAAAGGAGAAACAATGCTTTCTTAGAACAAATCTATATGATGTTCATATATTGCTATAATTGAGCTGAATTTAGTTTTATATTAAGCTCTGCATTTCTCTGTCTTTCTGAGTAGGAAATGGATTCGATAAAAGCAGAAAATCTCTTCTGAAACAATTCATTTATGTAAAGCTTGGAATTATTGAAAATTGAATTCACAGTCTGCTTCTTAGGACTGAGAATTCCTCTTAGACACTCCATATTGAAAAATGTGTCAAATTACACTCTGCTGTCAGTGATTAAATAAGAATAATACATACAGGGAAGTTTCTGTGAAAAATTCATGACAATGAATTATAATTTCTACAGTTCGAATTAAATCAAACAGCTGCAATTCTATAATTTTGTGTCATTTATTCCTGGCATCTCACACCCATCAACTCTACAACAATGGGCTGCTTAAACAGTTTTCAAATCCAACCTCATACAAAATGCACTGCTATAGCTGCATCTTATATGAGGGGGACATTGTAGAAACATTTATTTTGAATTCATTGCCTGACACTATGTTATTAACAAGATTTTTAATATACTGGGAGGAATCAGGTATTTACAAAACAATTTGTTTTGAAAAAAACATAGTTCCATATGAAGGGGATGAGCTTATTCCAAATCTCATTTTATGTTGCTCTATCACTGTAATGAAGATTGATTAATCATCATGACTAATCTTGTATGGGCTGGAAAGCTAAGCAGGGCTTTAGACTTGATAGTTGAAAAAGACAGAGTTGAAAAAACATCCAAGAAGAAAGCAACAGCAAATCACTACAAAACTACATGATCTTGAAGGAGGCTTACTTTTGGCACAGAGTTCAGTGAAAGTGCCTGAACAAGAGGACAATTTGATTGCTATAACAAATTCATCTGAAGTTAGAAAATATTAATGATTTCATCAGAAAAGTTTATGCTACAGTTGAACAGCAGTTATTTTAATATTAGCATGGTATATAGTCGTTAGACCTGAAATGTAATAAATCTGCATGTGTTAACATTTAATACAACTCATATTTGCAAATGTGATCAAATTGGAATGTCATATAAGAGTTTAAAAGAAAAGAACAGTATATAGTAATCACATTTTATACCTGGACTCTTACTATCCATATTTTTTCTGGCCCTGCACTCAATGGGGCTGCGGAAAGGATTCAGGCAACACTTTCTGCACTTCTACCCTATAGTGCTCAATGCAGGGAGTGGGGAGGCGTGTAGAAGAGCTCATTGGAAAATCCTTGACAACCTTCCAGAAATACCTTAAATAATGGCTGTGTCAGCAGGCCTGGGGATCTCAAGGAAATGGCTACATTGTTTTACTATCAATTCTCTCCCATATCTTGTTATTAATAACATTGTTTATGTCTTTTAATTGTAGTTTTTAACATTTGGATTTTATTATTGCTTTTATTGTAAGCTGTCTAGAGTCATTTTTTTGTGAGATGGGTGGCTGTACTATATAAATGTAATAAATAAATATATAAATCAAGTTTATATGCCGCCCATCTCTCTATCAGTGACTGTAGGCAGCTCACAAGTAAAAATATAAAATCATTTAAAAACTACAAAAGACATGAAAAGACTACAGACAAAGTTAAAAGATGGAGAGAGCATCCTCAAGGCGCCAGCCACCCCCAGTTTTGGGAGCTCCCATTGGATCCCCAAGCTAGGCGGCAGAGCCAGGTCTTAAGGCTCTTCCGGAAGGCCAGAAGAGTTGGGGCCAACCTCACTTCAGGGGGCAAGATATTCCACAGGGTGGGGGCGATGGCAGAAAAGGCTCTCCTCCTAGACCCCGCCAGTCAAAATTCTCTGACAGGGTCCGCAACATGCCCTTCCTGCTGGACCAGGTGGGACAGGCTGATGTAACCAGGACAAGGTGGGTCCTCAGGCTGGGCCCATGCCATGAAGGGCTTTAAAGATCATAACCAACACCTTGAATTGGACTCAGAAGCAAACTGGCATCCAAACCAGCTCACACAGCAGAGGTGTTACATGTGCAACCCTAGGGGCACCCAAAATTGCCCACACCGCCACATTCTGTGCCAGCTGCAGCTTCTGGATACTTTTCAAGGGTAGCCCCATGTAGAGCGCATTGCAATAGCCCATAAATAAATAAGGTATGACAATCCCTTCCTGAATATGGTAGAAAAGAACATTTGGGTTGAGAAGGAAGTATAAGTGATTAACCTGCTGATCTTTTCCATTTATTCCTACAGAATGTGGTGCTATGGAAATGATGCATAGTATGCTGTAAACCTGTGAATTAAGCTAACATCTAGAATAGGTAGTAGGTAAGCTGTGTGAATAAGTAAAAGACCTGTCATATAATTGATCAGGATGGGAAACTGGTGATAAGAAGGCATAGCTGAGTTGAACAGTTATTAGGAAGGTGGTGGAGAGAGGAATAGAAATTATAGACTGCTCTACTGGCCTTTAGGATGTACAGTATGGAAAATATTTCTATTGTCTGATACTTCTTTTTATCTATTAACATTTGTGTATATGCTATTACATCTTGCCATGCTATGCATGATGACAGTTTATTTATATACTGCCAATGTAAAAGTCCCTTCCAAAAATGTACCAAGAAAACTGCAGGCAGTCACCAGAGTCAAGACTGGTTTGAAGAGACCCTCCCCCCAAAAAACTCACATAAAATCACCCAGGTAGTGGCAGCATCTAACCATCCTTGATCATCACAAAAAGCAAGGTTGGACCTGGGTACTACTTGGCTGAGATCGTGGAGGAGAAATTTCTCCATAGAGTTCTTTAATAACTGGGATTAGCCATATATACCCTCTTCAGATGAAACACAAATTGTTTATTATGGCATCAGAGGCAGCAGGAGCAAACCTAAAAAAGAGGGGGAATGCAACCCGTCTGTATAGAGTTAAGAACATTAGAATATACATATGATTGTATACAGTAAAGTAATTGATTGGATATACCGAGACACGTGTGTTTAGGGAAGTCAAATGGAGGTGGTATCTATGAGGTAGAATGATAAAAACAGCGGTATGTTAAAAGAACAAAGACAGTATTCTCATGAACATGGTTTCTTTCAAGACAGTTACTTTTATAGGGTTATCTATACTGGCTTTGCTTCCTAGCACCTATGCTCATGTCCTTATATCTTATGCTGACAGGGTTTATTGTTTCCCAAGTCTCTGGGAAGTTAACCTAGGGAGTGGGGTGTTATGTTTGTCCTAACCAACACTATATTTTCTCCTACAATAGCACCAGCAACATCCTGGAAGAATGCAGTGGTGAACCATTTCCATGTCCATTAAGTCATCAGGAGGAACATTTGACTCAAAGGAGACTTTACCTTAACATGAAAATTGATACTATAAGTGGCAGAAATCAGGCACCCTGTAGCATTCTAAATTAGTGTGTCTCCTGAGATAATCTGGCCTTCAGAAACTAGTATATGAAGTGAAATGCAATCAGTTATTTATACAGTTCTTAATAAATTACTGTTCATTCCAATTCAGTGGTGTTTACAAGATCTTGCTCCTTTCATCAGAATGAAGAAAGTCTGTTGTGCCATCATGCAGCAATCTCTATCCTTTTGAGCATGTATGATGTATTTAGAAAAGGGGTGGAACTTGCATCACAACACAGCAACGGTGCTTTTGTTGTCTGACACACACATCCTGCCTGCTCCTGTGGAGGCTGGCAATTTAGTTTTTACATATGTTTCTAGAATGGATTTTCCATAAGTGTTATAGATTATATATTTTTGAATAAATGCATATAGCTTTTTATCGTAACAAATACTGTAAGCACACTGATTTTTTTTTCAAGTCTTCTCTTGGGAAATAAAGCTCTAAGTGTAATCACAAATAGTATTACTGGGAAATGTAAAATGTTTCTTGATTTGTATGTTTAACTTCTTCATAGATTGCAAGGTATATGAACTTCTTGCCATGGCCCACTATGCTACAGGATATCCTGGGAGGAGTAACCCTAATGTACAAAAACTTCTGAATGCAACAATGACTGCCATACTCTGTCCCCAACCATGATGATGATGATGATGATTCCATTTCTAGGGTTATAGATTTCTATCAGAGTCCTGTATCAACAGAATGAATTGCTAAAATCACAATTCTAAATAAATAATGTGTGCATATCTTTTGATTAGGTTCAAACCGTTTTTTCCATTTCAAGTGGTGCCACCTGAAGAATATAGAGACCGGAACCTCAGTATACAAGGTTTCTCACTAACAGAAGGAAGACTGAAAGTTTCCTTAATAGAATGTTCAAGGTATGTTCTTGATGATCCCTATCATATTGGTTTTGTTTGTGCCTTAAAATCAGGTGATTGGGTAAACAGGATTAGGAACAGGTTACAGTTAGTGTTACGGTTCTTCAAGTTAAGGATTTGTGTCCAATTAACTTATTCTTCTGACAGAAAGTTCTCATCAGCAAAACAGAACAGAGTTCAAGACAGTTGAAATGACTGAAATGTGCACTCTAGAACTAAGACGTCTCCCAAAGAATCAACTCCCAAAACATATTTTTGTTGGTCTTTTTCCCCTTTGAGTGGTAGAGGTTGTCAATTTTTATTTTACAGATTTTATGACGGAACTACCCAACTTTGCTGATTTCAAAAACATGAACAGTGTCAGACTTGGTTAGTACTTGGACAGGAGACTACCAATAAATACCAGAAGCCCCTAAGAGAAGAAGTAAGCAGTAACCTATTTGTAACCTATTTGGCTATAGGTTCACTGTGACAGCTAAACTCATAGATAGTGTGGCTCTTTTGGAAGAAGCCAAATAATGGTGACAAAAGCCGTCACTGGGTACCCTAGCCAAGCAAAATTTATCATTTCCTAGGAGAGTCGGCTTAAATGGACTTAGAGTTGGCCGAACAATCACACTCAAAAAGTGCTCATTAATGGCTCTACTTTAGCTTGGAAGTATCAGTGTGCACAGGACTCTATCATGTGCCCTAAGCTGTTCAACAGTGTTATCAGTGACTTCTATGAGGAAGTTGTGGAAACACTTATCAAGTTTGCAGATGACACAAAAGCTGGGTGAGGTAGCTAATACTTTAGATAAAAGAGACTGGGCTTGAGCAGTGGGCTGAAATAAACAGAATGAAATTTAACGAGTAATGTGAAGTTCAGCTTCTGGATAGCAAAAATGTACAAGTATAGAATGGTGAGGCCTGGTTTGGCAGTAGTACATGTGAAAAGGAACTTGGAGTCTTTCTCAGCCACTCGTTGAACATAAGCCAGCAGCATGATGCAGTTGCGGAAAAGACGGATGCTCTCTTGGGTGCATTAACACCAAAGCATAGAGCTCATTTCACAGTCGTAATTGCTCCACTCATCTCTACCCTGATCAAACCCCATTTGAAGTACTATGTCCAGTTCTGGGCACCACAGTTCAAAAAGCATTAGTGACAAATCAGAGCAAGTTCAAGAAGGGCTACCAAGATGGTGATGGGTTTGGAAACCAAGCTGTATGAGAAATTTTTAAAGGGATCTGGGTATAAAGCTGGGAGATATGATAGCAGTGTCAAATATCTGAACAGTTGTCATATAGAAGAGGGTATGGATGTATTATCTGTTGCCCAGAGAACAAACCAAAACCAGAGGGTTAAAAGTACAAGGAAGTTCCCTGTAGTCATCAGGAGGAATTTCCTGATAGTACAGACTGTCAACCAGTGAAATAGGCTGCCACATGATGTAGTGAGTTCTTCACTAGAAGACTTGAAACAGGCTGAATGGTTATCTGTTAGGGATTCTATAGTGAATCAACTATAGAATTGATAGACTTCATAGTGGATATAATGTTATGACCTGGGTCTTAGCTAAGGACTGATGCTGATTTGTATGAATCTCTTTGCTCATTTCTCTTCTATTAGAAATGGTCATTTTAGTCATTTTATGCTTAATTGACTAGGACCAGAGAGAGCCAGGTTCATGTCCACCCTCTGCTGTGGAAGCTTGCTGGGTGACTTTGGACCATTCACTATCTCTTAGCTCAACTTACCTCTCAAGGTTGTTGTAGAGAAAAAAAAGGAGGAAAAGTGTAACGTGCACCACCTAAGCTCCTGAAAAAAAGATGGGATATCAATTTAGCAAATAAATAAATTTAACAGTTTAACAACTAAGACATTAGTTATCTCTCCTTTAGCCAGAAAGATTCTCAGAGTGGCCTGCAAAGCAAAAAGTCACAACTAAAAATCAAAAATAAAAGGAAAGAATGAAGAGCAAGAAAAAGGAAAACAAGAATGTCTGGGAACTAATTTGTAATGTATTACTAATCTTAAAATGACCAGCTGTAATGCAGAAATAATTCAGTAATAATTATAAAGTAACCAGAAGTTGCTGATCTTTTCAAAACTAGCTGGCATGGAAATGGCCAAGAGAGAGAATTTTCACATTTCTGGTCCCTTTAGTAGCTGAGCAAGGGGTATAGTTCTGCTTCCTGTTTTTCCCTCTGATATAACTTGGTGGAATGACTGCTGAATCATCATTGGTGGAGAGGTAACAGTTGATAATGATAGTAAACAGTCCCGTTTATGTAGGGTATGAGGGTGATGGGCAAGAGAAAGAGTGTTCTCTATCAAAAAGATATATCTTGGGCTATGTTATCAGCAAGATAAAAAGTTCAGGAAACTAAAGTATAACTGCATATATATTGGGTAATGATAGCTGAAAATGCAAATGGTTTGCAAGCTCTAGTAATGAAAGTCAAGGAACACAGTGGAAAAAATGGGACTAAAATTCAACATAAAGAAGACCTAATTAAAGAAAACAGGTGCAACAACCAGCCTCAGAACTGACAGTGAAGATGTTGAAATAATGGATAGCTTCTGCCTTTTAGGATCAACCATCAGCAGTAAAGGAACTAATAATTAAAAATATGCTGCAGACTAGCACTTGGTAAAGTAGCAATGAAGGCCTTGGAAGAGATATTCAGATACCATGATGTGTCTATACCTACAAAGATTAGAATCATGCAGCCAATAGTTTTCCCTGTGACACTCCACAGAAGTGAAAGTTGGACTTTAAAGAAGCAGGATAAAGTATTGACACTTTTGAACTTTGTTGTTCAAAATCTTGAGAATACCTTGGATAGCCAAGATAACAAACAGGGATCATCAAACAAATCAACTCAGAGTTCTTACTTGAGGCACCAATGACCAGGTTCAAATTGTCCTACTTTGAACACATTATGTGAAGTGTTAGAGAAGTGTCTAACACTAGGAAAGGTGGAAGGAAAGAGAAGAAAAGGACAACCGGAAGCAAGGTGGATGGACTCAGTTGCAGTGGTCATAGGTGTTCCATTGGAAGACCTGTAGGACCAGATTAGAAATAGATCATCTTGGAAACTATCTATCTTTGTGGTCACTAAGAATCAACACTGACTTGATGGCACATAAATAATCAAATGTATTGGATAACGCAGAAAATCTAGCCAACATAGACATGTTTTAAAATGTATTTCTCATAGATTATTCAGATAAAATGTAGTAGAAGGGACCAGTAAGTCTTCCTTGATCTTTAATCTAACCTGATTTTCTTATTTTATTGACAGTTAAGCTATTAAATAGCAGTTGAGAAGCTTGAATAGAATTACATAATATTCCTATAAAATGCAGAATCTTCACACACGCAGCTATACTGAGTCTCAGATTTTAAAAATATTGGTTAAAAGGCTACCCCAATTAGGTGGCAGGTATATTTCATAATGAACACGTTTTCAGAAGTACTTAAAAGTTATAGGTGACAGTTACCTGTTTGTCTTGTAAGAAAAGAATTATATTTTTCCCTTTAGAATTATTTCACTGATATGCATTTAATTAAAATTAGTACATTCAGTTGTTTTTAGTCAGTTTTTATCACTGTTACTTACTTTGCAATAATGCACAGTTTTACTTGTTACCTATTTCAGTTGCATATATTACCTATATGAAAAATGTTGAAATTCTGGATTTGCTTTCATTTGCTGCCTGTTTCCACTAGAGGGTGCAAATTCTTTTTTAAACTTCTGATATCCTGAATTGTAGGAGTATGGGTGCAGCTGAAATAGTGTAATACAAATCATTTTTTAAAGGTAATGTAGCAGCTGTAAGCAATTAATGGTAATTTAATAATTAATTTAAACAGTAATTATATGTTTGGATTTCAGATTATTTATTTTTGGATCCTATGAGAGAGAAGTAAATATTCACTGCACAATTGAATTGAGTGATAAAGTTTGGGAAGAAAAAGAAAGGACTTTTATCAAGACGGTAAACCATATTTTCCATAATTTCAGTCTAATGCAGCAGTAATATATGGTATATGTAATATAATATACTATATGATATATAACATACTATATGTGATATATAATATTATGAACTTAAAATGCATGATCTATTCCTGATATTATAGAGATACATCTTTTGCAAAGAATCAACATATTTTTCAGTGGAAACTTGTCCATCATCTCTTGGACCAGCCACTGCCTGGAAAGAAAATTCCATACATTCTTTCTGTACATTTATACACCCATTGCTTTCCCCTTGGGATCAGAACCAACTATTCTCCCTCAGCCCAATCCACCTCACAGGATTGTTGTGGGGAAAGTAGGAGGAGAGAGCATTATGTATGCTGCCTTGGGCTGTAAAAAATAAAGGTAGGATATAAATAAAATTAAAATAAATTACTTGAATAATGGGCAGTAGTCCCTGGAGGAAAAAGCAGTGGTTTGGTGGGAAGATTAAAAAAAAAATGTGCCTAGTTTCTGCTACTAATGGCATAACATTGGCAATACATGACACTGTTTCTTTTAGAGAACCAAAACTTGGTCTAGTATTTTCTTTTGTGAATTTCTCAGCCCATGTAATAGTTGCAAACATTTTAACAGTAGGTGGCAGTATTACTATTTAATATATCTTCCACAATATCTCTGTACTTGACAGAAAGCATCAATTGGATCCCCTATTTGTATCCCCTCACTTAACTGAGCTTTCTGTTCATACATTTAAGCAAGATAAGGTATGTAAGCTGAATAAGACAGCTATTGTTTGACAAGCAAGCTTTTTAGCAGAGGAAGTCTTAATGTTTCCATCACTCTCACTGGGGCAAGAACTATTAAATTGGTCAGCAGTTGTAAAGCCAGTCATATTAAAGAAGTCTATTCTTGACGTTTCTCCCCATTTTTGATTGCAGGAGTAATGAACTTTCAGGTGATTCCCAGTTAATCTCAGAAAGGCCTGTTTGGAGCAAGGCTCCTGAACTATTTTCATCAGAGCAAGAAAGGCTTTTTTTTCATAATCTTTTTGATGTGCTCCCCACATAAAATTTTGATACTTATGCAAATAAGCCTTCAGAGGGAATGATTCTCTTATCCTAAAGAGCATTCAGAAGTTTTTCCTACATGGCCCAGATTAAACTGGAATTCCTTTTTTGGAAACCTTTATTTGACTATTCTAAAAAAAACAAGCAACCTCTCATCATGTTAAAAAATAATACAAAAATCAAATACAGCTTTCAGAATTTTAAACTTGCCCAAAGCATTTCTTTCTCTTTCCAAGGCGAATGCTCCTATAATCACATTTCTTCAATTAGAAAATTTATTGTGTAATGAATCATGTAGGGATCATAATGACTGCCACCTGGAATCTACTTTAAAACACCATTTTATACTGCTGCCAAAGCTTATATCACTTTCTTCATCCTTGCAAAGATGGCATATTAGTGTCCAGCTGTACAACATCCAAAGTAGTCACTGGAAATTATTTCTTGCATGGGGCTTTGATGGTCAATGCAAGATTTAAAAATAATCCAATTGATATATACAGTAGGATTGAAAGCTATGAGACTGCAAAGCTTTTAAGATCCAAATTTTGGAAAAGATAAATTTAATTTTCCATACTTTCAGGTTTATCACTGGGTATTTATCCTAGCTTTGGCCACTAGCTGGAATCAGGAATTTCAGAATCCAGTTTTTCTTTACACTCAACTTGGTAGTTATTATTAAACCCATTGAAATTGTAGTAGGAGGTATTTCCCTTAAAGGGATTAATTAATTTTAAACCGGAGACCAGGACACATTACATTGAAGCATAAATTGGTTTATTGACAGTGCAGGAGGCCTAAAGAGGGGAAGGGTTACAGTCCCTCTTTATAGACTTACAGGCAATAGAATGTACATGTGATTGGACAGAGCAGCCAAGCATTTCATTGGATATAATACATCATGTGCCTTGTGAGGTCAGTGAGGCCATTAGGGTATAACTATGAGGCAATGGGGCAGGACTTCCAAGACAATGGGGTTTTTACAAAACAAAGAGGCAGTTATTCCATGAACAGAGTTTCTTTCTAGGGGATACTTTCTTTTGCTTCGCCAGAGCTCTGCTGCCTCCCAGTATCTTTTCCCAGCTCGACAGCATTCCTTGGCCTTCTGAATGTTCTGTGGCTAAGCTAACAATGTAGTTTTCTTGGGAAAGTGTTTTGCAATGAGGTGGTTGCCCAGTTTGACACCATATAGCTGAGCCTGTGCTTCGTTTTCCCTGGGAAGAAGTTTTTAGGGGCTTTTAACTTGGCCCCAAGAATCCTCCTTCAAAATCTTATCAAGCATTGGGCCCTGTTTGTGTGAGCGCTTGCTCCAAGATATATATGGAAAATAATTGGGTTGTAAATATAACTTTGACCCTTTTACTTATGGAAATCTTACATTATGGCATAATCCCATTAGTTAAAAATAGTGGGTAAATCTATTTATTGGGTAAACTGGGCCTTTCATAATATTACTTTGGATCAACTCAGTCCTGAGGTTTCTGATTTAAAACATTTTGCAGAATTAAAAAATGAATTCAGTTTACTTCAATAATGGTTCTTGGCAGTTTATTTAATGCAAGCATTTCTTATTTGTTCTATTTGATCCATAGTCTATTGTTGCTTCTGAAGTTCTACAATGACTGGATATTTTAGTGGAATTAATTGTGGCTCCTATGCAAGTAATTTTTTGTTAAAGGAAGTTGAAGGGCATTAATATTAACTGTGTTTTTTTACTTGACCTCTGGAATAATGAGTTTGAATGTCTTGTCCTGATAAAGGAATGGAGGGTTGCTTTAAATAATGTGAAATTATTTCCTATGGTCTGAAAATGAGATTAAACAAAAACATGTTTCATGTATTTTGGGTACCTTTGAGAATGTTTAATAATATTCATTGTTATCACTTTTGTGTTGGAGATGCAGCTGGAACATTAATTCATGGTTTGGACATGTCCTATTATTGCCACATTTGGGGTTGATATCAGTAGGTTTGTTAATAAGACTGTGGATGTATATGATCTTCTTGGCTATCTCTCTAGTATTTGGACTCCATCAAGAACTCTGGATTTTTCAGACATGAGGTCTGGCTAAAGGAGTAATATAATATAGAAATCTCCACTAATTTACAGTGATGGATTGTTAATGTATATCATTGTTTGAATTAGCTTTGTTTGTTTACAGAGGAGTGAAATTTTTAAAAAAAGAACCTATACAATATGGTCAGGTTTCTTTATTTATTCTGTTTATAGCATAATTTTTTAGGCCTTTTTTTTTCTCATTTCTTCCTTCTCTTCTCATGCTTAATTTGAGGTTACATTATATTGTTATTATTGTTATATTTTAATTATGTTAATTAGTTTGGTATAATAATTTTTTAAAAAATCCAAATTAAGGAAAAAAAAGTCCTAAGAAAGAAAATGGTAGAGGAGAGTAATTCTGGAAATTAAGTTAGAACTTACTCTTCAGAAATAATCTTATATAAAGATGCTTCTTTCAGTAGAGCAATTTTCAGTTTCAGTCTAGAAAACCCCCTCCAAAGTCACGGAACCATCCTCCACCCTTAGACAAATTCACAAGTTTGCCAAAGCACCATCTCTACATATTCTGGTAATCCTTTTACAATATCTTTTTACAAACTCTGCTGTAAGCTAATGGATCCTTGAAATAATAGAGAAAAGCAAAATGTCACTTCCTACATAAAGATTCCAAGAACAAAAGACCCACTTTGAGCATTTGGATGCAGTGAAAGCCATTGATTACTCATTTACTTCTTTACTTACTTCTAGTTCAAGCTACAGAAAAAAATCCAATAAAGGGACATCATATTTTTTGTTCTACAAACAATGGACTATATGTTTTGAACAATTCTTGGATCTCAGATAACTGAAGAACTGCTAGAAGAACAGATGCCAATGGGATTTTTACCCTTCAAATTTGCTAATAGTTTAATCCAAAAGTTGTAGACGACAATAAAATGCTCCTAAATCATTTCAATAATCATTATTACTAAGCTGAATTTTATATTTCATGCTGATCAGGGAGGCATCATTACGATGCTCTTCATTTTAATCATTCAGTTCCTTGGTTCTTCATTTGACCCTATATTATAAATTTTCCAGTATATGCCACAGAGAGATTTTGAAGTACAATTGCATTGGCCCCCCAACTGATTTGATAGAGAGTAAAAGTGGAAGTCTGTAGTTTGGGAACATCTGATGAATATAATATTGAGAAAAAAAAGACCTAGATTGGGTCACCAGGTCTTTCAGCATTGTTAAACTTTAAGTTGAATATCTAAAGTACTGGTGTATTGTTTAGTTACACTTAAATCAATACATTGTAGTCAATTAAGATGATATTAATGGCAAAATGTAGAAATACATTTTGTCAGATAGCACTTATTTAAGAATGTCTGGATCTGTTCTGCAATTTCATGCGGAGATTTAAATGTGTTTACAGATAGAGAGAGACACAACTTTTATCTTGTGCATTCAAGTTCTTTATTTGAGAAAAATACTACCCATCTTGAGTTGGCATTTTCATTTTTTATTCTGCTAGCAATGAAGATAAGTTAGACAGCTTAGTCACAGCAATGAACAGTAGTGACACTTTAATCTGATCACATCACCTACAGAATATTGGTACATAATTGATTGTAAAAGAAGATTCAGGGTTATTAAACCTGCCCAGTATATTGCTTAAAATGTCAGTTGCAATGAGGACATATCTGTTTCAAGCAAATTTGTAATTTTGTGTCCCTGGTTCAATACGATAAATTTAAGATAATTTTGCATATAACATGCCTGCTATATAACCTCAGTAGGCTTTTTTTGTTTTGTTTTTTTTGGCTTCATGGCTCTTTTGTGCTAGATTAGGAGCTACACTGTCCCATTATTACAAGGATTCTACATTCCTTTCCCTCCAATATTCTTGTTCAATGTAACTGTATTGTCACTACTGTTAGT